GTATGAGTCACGTACAATTTACAAATAGTTGCAAAATGCCTCCAAACCAATGAAGAAAGCTAAACAGTGATCACTTGGGAAAAAAGTGTGCTGTGGATAATACCTAAGTTTCCACTGAAACATGTTTGTTCCTGCAGGACCCAGAACCCCCTTGACTGTCCACTGAGCCCACTTATCACATTGTGTGCTCTTTTGTTTTCGGTACGTGGAAATACACACATTGTTTTGGAGCATGGAGCACAGGGGTCCCTTAATCTTGAATGGAAAATAATAATAAAGGTATTTAATCTAAATTATAATATAGCTTTAGAAGCACCCTGATCTTGTTAGTTGGCCTCAGTGTGTGATCATTATATGATATCTGTCCAGAAGGTATCCAGCCATGTAATATGAAAAATAGAGACATTTATTGAAAATAAAATATGAGATATAAGAAATATTGTACTTAGGACAATGACACCTCAAGTCTTCTTCAAAGTGGGCACCTTGGGACCTCCAAGTTCTCCCAGTAGCCATCAGCTGCCCTGTCATATTTTCCTGAATCTCATCGATGGTCTGAAATCTCTTTTCTTTCCAAGGTGATTTTAGTCTTCGGAAAAGCCAGAAGTTGTAGGGTGCCAAATCTGGGCTGTAGGGGGGCTGAGTCACCTGGGTGATTTGATGTTTCACCAAAAAACTCTGCACAAGATGTGATGCATGTGTGCATACATTGTCCTGATGAAGCTGCCAATCACCAGTTGCCCATAGCTGAGGTCTTCTGAATCATCAGAATGGTTTCCACAGAGGAATGTTCAAGCTTCACACAAAATTTGATGCAGATTTGTTGTTCTGCCCTCTCAGTCATTTTGAATGCGACAGCTGCATAGTACACATGCTCACTCACCAGTGTCTACCAGCCCCACTGACTAGTACAGTGAAGTTGTCATTGTTCACATACCCACATTCCAGTCCACTCTCCTTGGCTGCCAGGTTACGTCATGTTGTGTAAACTGTTCTCATTATATTAACAATGGCTGGACTGTTTCCAGACAGACCTCATACATCTCCTTTTTACTAATGGCTGCCTTCGCTTTGCTTTGATGCTCAAACAGATCTCTTCCGTGTTGGTATTTTCCCTCTTGTAGTCTTCTAACTGTTGCCCTTGCTCCCAGCCCCACCAACACATTCCCTTCTTTTTCTCACAGCCCATTTCTTCTGAACCTTCTGGCTATCAAAAATCACAGTAGCTGGTGTAGCTTGAAGCCAGGATTCCAACTCTCTCTGACTGCAAAGCCTGTGCTCTTTCCACTAGACCATCATGACCCTCAGGAAGAGGAAATGGCATTTGAGCTGAACCTGGAGGGATGGCAGAATTTGTTAGGCAGAAATGGGTAAATAAAGCACTTTGTTGACACAAAGCTCCTCTGCCTAGGGCCCAAGTTCCTGCTGCAGGGAACAGAAAGTGATAAAGTGGCAGAGCTGAGTTAGCCCGTAGGCATGTGTGGTGCCTAACACTTGCTTGATGCTTTGTTTTAATCTTCACATCAGCTCTGCGAGATAGGTGTTGTGGTCCCCACCGAACCCTTGGGAAAAGTGGGCTGGTCCCTCCCAGGAATCATCTGGGGTCTCTCAGCTGTTAACTGGCTAAATTAAATTTAGAATTCTTTTTTTTCCACTCAAGGGTCTTTGTTCTACTTCATGAGGAGTTTTAAGCAGGGGTGTGAAGTGATTAGAATTTATTGAGGAAAGACAATGATAAAAGAGTAGCCTAAGTCATCTTTTTGACCTGTACTGAGTATCACTTGAAGGCTGTAACCCTTCATCCAGCACTAAAATTGGGAATTAAAAATGTTTCCATGCACAAATTTAAATGCCTTAAAAATTGTCAAGGGTCAGCAACTCATAATGCAGTCCTCACACCTGCAATTTCAGTATAACCCTGAGGTTTATTAAAAATGCAAATTCTCACACCCCTACCTCACACTTGCTAGAGCAAAAATCTCTGAGGTGGAGCCCAGGAGTCTGTATTTAGGTAAGCCCTCTGGGTGACGGTCGTTTACACAAATATTTGAGAAAGCCCTGATAATTTTCCTCTGGCCACTGAGTCTTCTTTCTGCATTTCCTGGTTGTCAAGAGGGTACATCTTAAAATGATTTCCTTGATAGCAGACCAGAACTTCATCTGCACATTAAATGATAAGTACTTTATGGTGAGGAATTATCATTATTGATATCTAGGAACCTGACTCATTAACTGTCTTTACCATTATATAGACTCTGGCATAGAACTGACTCATATATAAAGGTGGTACTAGGTAGAAAAAGGTCTGGAAGGATATACATCAAGGCATTGTTAAAGAAGAATTTATTCGTCCGTGGCCAGGCAGTTCAGTTGGTTAGAGCGTCATCCTGATACGCCAAGGTTACATGTTCAGTCCCTGGTCAGGGCACATACAAGAAGCAACCAGTGAATGCATAAATAAGTGCAACAACAAATCAATGTTTCTCCCTTCTTCTCTCTAAAATCAGTAGATAAAATTTAAAAGAAAAAGTTATTCACAACAAATGAATAGGGGGTGTAGACTCTCCCCTTATGCAAGGGGAGAGAGAGATTGGGCTCAACTCCAAATACAACAAGGAATGGTGAAGGTTCATATCTCTGGAGCAGAGTGGGGGTTGGTGGTTAGAAAAGTACTAAGGGGATAGGGTAATTCTGTGCTAAACTGACCTCACAGGATTCTGGTTGAAGATAATCAGATAATACGTGGCAGGTGGTGAAGGATGATGAATTTGATCAGTTATTGAGGGTGAGGGATTCTGGCTAAACCAACTTGACACAGGATTCTTGCTAAAACTGGTCTCTGGTAGAACGTGCCCAGGGATGGGGCTTAGTGAAGCGTACAGGAGCCTGACTCAAGTTTGGTCAAGAAGAGAGTCTCTGTCACAACACACAGCGCTTACTCTGGGGAGAGTTACGGGACTGGGGAGAGTTACGGGACTACGGAGAAGTGAAGGGAGGGGCTTTAACTTTTACCCCCTACATTTTTATATTTGTCCGTGATACATGGAGAAACATTTATACCGTTCATTTTAAAAGGTGTATTTTGGTAGAGAATTCTGATGTGTTTTCAAATAGATATGTTTTTTCTGTTTTATGTAGTTTTACTAAAAGTAATAAATAATATTGTAATATCCATTATCAAACTTGGAGAACTTATACATAAATTTATTTATTGAGAGTTGCATCTGTTTTAAGTAATCAGCTTTTTTCTTCTCATCTAGTAGTGAGTCGTATCTTTAGAAATAAAATTCAAATGAATAGCCTTAATGTGATAGATGATGTTTTGTTGAAACTAATTGCCTAGGTATGTTTAGTACTAGAAGTATGTATTTGAATGCTTTGTTTTACTTATTGATGGGATTGTTTTGATTTTGAGTGTAATGGAATGTTATTTGAGTCGGCATCACTATTTCATTTTTATAGCAGTGAACACAGCCACCGTGCTGTGACTGAAACCAGAAAGGTCCGTGTTCATGCTGCTTTGCTGCCTGTCACTACGGCACCAACAAGCAGAGACACAGGTGGAGTCTTTACAGGCGTTTTACTTTTAGATGCCTGTGATCTGAGAAGACGGAGGGTTGTGTACCCTCAAAAACTGTCTTAACATCTCATTTCAAGCTGACCTTTTCATAAGGAGGAGAAAGGGCGGGTAACGGGTTTGGGAAAAAGGTTAATTGAATAAGAGTTGCAGTCTGGCAGTGATACTTTCCTTTTTGTGTGTTGATCAACAATTCTTCATTTGCATTCCCTCCCTGGAGCACAAAGGCTGAGTTGCTGTCAGCCTCCTGGAATCACGCGGTCATGCATTTGCAGTTCCTGGAATGACAGCTTTCCAGTTCCTGAGCCACCTAAGCCCATCAAATATAGCAAAGGCTCAGCTCTTTAACTCTTGAGTTCCCCTATCATGACCACAGAGCTAATTCCTTTGGCACCGTTATTTTGAGTTTGAAATGCCTATGATCCAGTTCCTCAGTGCTGTTTCTGTGGCCCACAGTACTCTCACTATTCTATACTGATGTCAGTTGGCTTTTGTTAAGCAGCTGTATAACTGTAAACACAAACACCGTTGTGAATCCTAACATGTTCCATAGTGAGGTTGCCATTCCAATGCTGCAGACCCAGCGGTGGGTCCCGAGCAGGCGATGTTCCTTGTTATGCCCAGGAGGAGGGCAAAGATAATGAAAAATTGTAATTAAGTGTGTGCATATTGAGTGTTTGAAACATGTAAAGGAAACCACTCAATTTGTGGTTTCTAAAGTGGTAGAAAAGAAGAAAAAATAGAAACCAGAGAACTGTCTAGCAGAACTTTCTGTGAAGATGGCAGTGTTCTCTTCCTGTGCTATCCAGTGTGGTAGCCACTCCGCACAAGGAGCTACGGAGCACTTGAAATGTGGCTAAGATGCCTGAGAAACTGAATTTTTAGTGTTACTTAGTTTTCATTTAAATCATCACATGTGACTAATGACGGCCACATTGGACAATGCAGACCTACCTAGGTCAGTGTTTATCAAAGTCTAAAGTGCAGGAGAACCAGCCACCTGGGGATCTTATTAAAACGCAGATTCTCATCCAGTCAGGTTCTGTGACTCTGCATTTCTAATCAGCTCCCTAATCGTGCTCAGGCTTCCAGCCCAAGGACCATACTTCAAGAAGCAAACATCTAGAGTATACTCATTCGTATCTGTTTATTTTATAGAATCTCCTAAAAGGAAGAAGCAAACTTTAAAATTCTCACAGAAAAAAAAAATCCTCACAGAACTCTAGGATTTTCAGGTGTTCTCACACCCTCACATGCGGCCAGGAAGGTTTAGGGAGCTTCTCTAGGGGCCTTCCCCAGGGACCTGTGGGGAGCTGGAGTTTTCATTATGCTTGCCATGTAAGGGTAAAAGGAATCTTCTGGCAAAGACGCCTATTTCAACCCCTCCTGCTTTTTCTAAAAGAAAAAACCATCTTCCTTACAGGTTTTGTGTGTGAAGCTGTGTGGAAATCTGAAATACCATCAGTCACATCTTTACAGTACAGTGGTGCCACCAGATGGTAAGCTTTCTTAGCACTTCCTTGATTCCTATGCTCATTTATTTCAGTTCTTCCAAATAAAGTGAGACGTGTGCGTTTTGAGCAAAACAGACTTCCCTTGCCTCCCCCTGCCCCATGCTACCCTGCACCTGGCTCCGTGCAGTTCCTCCCTTTTCTGCTCCTCTGATATCTCTGGTGTCTTCGTGCTAACGCCCACCCCAGCAATCGGAGCAGTCACAGATGAACGGGACGCAGTTTCTGCCCTCGGAAACTTACCCTGTACCTGGGAAGACTCTAAGGTGATTATAACAAAGTGCGATATAAGCCAGCGTAAAATGCACAGCCTGATGTAGTTTACAGATGCAGTTCTGTGAGGGCACCATAGGAGCCACGTAAATGACCACAGGAACTCAGGGACTTACGAATTACGTTTACGCATTCCTTTTAGAAGCTATGTGTTTTAAAGTTATGTTTTTAAAAAGTAAATTGTAGTTCTGTGTTGTTGTTTTTTTTCTTAACAGAAATAACAGTTGATTACAGACACGGCCTTCCCTTGATAACACTCACTTTGCCATCCAGAAAAGAACGTTGTCAATTTGTGGTCAAACCAATGTTAACCACAGTTGGTTCATTTCTTCAGGACATACAAAATGAAGATAAAGGTGTCAAAAGTGCAGCCATCTTCACAGCAGGTATATATATATATATATGTATATATACACATATTTTTTCAACTTCGTCTTTTTCTTTTTTCCTGAACCTCTGTTTTGCTTCTTTAATTTTCAAGAAAGAAGTTGATTTTTTAAAATTATTTATATAATAAATGGTTGGTCTTCATTGAGACCTTAATTTTTATACTCAGTAATATTAAAAACATTAACTCCATTGAAAAATTAATGGAGTAAATTCAGTGCAAGTTTCAGTTACTTATTTTATAAACTCAGCCCCGAGGAAAATGAATTTTTTACAATATTTATTTCTTTTTAGAAGAGGGGAAGGGAGGGAGAGAAACACCAGTTGGTTGCCTCTTGCACGCACCCCAGCAGGGGGCCGAACCCACACAGGCGTGTGCACTGCCCCTTTTGCTTTGTGGGACGATGCTCAGCCCACTGAGCCATGCTGGCCTGGGCCCCGAGACAACGTTAATGACACTGTCATCAGCGTGTAATTTTCAGCAATTTTTAAGTAATTAAAAAACAAAATGTAAAATATCCAGTGAACAATTAAAATACACAAGTAGTTCATTTATCTTTGCTACAAAGCAACTTCAGTGTAGTATATTTTATGACAGAATTGTTTCTCAGGAAGAATATAGATATTTTTTAATACCAGCAGAGGTGGTTAATCATTTAGACATTTTAAATCTAAAATACAGCTGTTATGTTCCTGTGGTCTGACATGGCCTTAGACCCACCGCCCCTAAAACAGTCAGAGAAGCACTTACCCCAGCCCAATGTACAGAGGTTACACGTATAAATAAATGAATAAATTTGTGTTGTTATTTCATGGTAATTATTACTTGATTAGAATAAGCTTATTAAAATTCGAATACTGTTGTGGTTTGAAAAGGAAATAAACCTTCTTACCTATCCAAGTTCAGAACTAATGAAGGATAAATATAGAAGTTAGAGGAAAATGGAGATTAAAGAATTTATTTGCTCAACCAATATTTATTGCATACCTAACATATACCGGACGGGGCACTGTTCTAGAGGTAGAGCAAAGAAAAGCTCCTACTCTTGTAGAGCTTACACTTTAAATGGAAAAAGAAACAAGATAAAGAAATAAAATATATAAATTGTTAGATAGTAAGTGCTTTGGAGGGAAAATAGATCAGAGTGGGGTGGGGAGAGCCTGTGTGTTGGTGGGAGGGAGGTGCTTGGCAGAGGGGAGAGAGCTGCCCAGGCAGAGGCCCTGAGGTGGGAGCTGGCTCCTCTGTGGCTGCAAAGGAGGGAGCTGGATGGAAGTAGGAGGGGAGGGGCAGAGTGGGGAAAGCCTCCTTGTAGGTTATTGTGAAGACTTTGGATTGAACTGGAAGGGGAGCTTTTTTCCTGGTAAAACCAGAATCAAAGAATAGGGCTTTAGTCCGATGGCCACTATGGCCTAATACTCCATCCCCGGACTAGACAGACATGCCTCCCAACCCCCAGCCACAGGAGCACTGAACACCCATGGGCTTCCCGGAAGGGCCGGGGCCTGCCTTCCTAAGCTTCTGAGAACAGGCAGATGCAAACCTTGAGCACAGTGCTTGCCTGGTAGGTAGTGTGCACTCTATTATAAGTGCTTGTTCAATGAATGAAATAAGAGAGGTTAAAGCATTGATGGATGTGTACCCTGCTTTTCTAAAAATAATTTGAGTAGCTTTGAAACATAAAGCACACAGAAAAAGACTAGAAATCCTAGAGAAAGTGGGCTTTTGGACTGATTAAAACACTTCACTGGGGTTCAAGTCAATATTTATTGGTGAAAAATTTCAACACTTAATCATTAGCTCCTTCAAAGTGTTCCATGTCAGCCTTTCGCTGTACCTACATAGTATGGAGGACGATGTAGTACTTCAACTGAGAAATCATACACAGTCGAATTCCTTTTCATGGCAATATTTTAAGGAGCTGGTTTGAAGTCATGTAAGTGTAAATTTTAAATGATACTTGCAACGCCAGATAAAGCGATTAGTGTGTTGTTGATCTTTTTAAGAGGGCTCTGTGGGTGGAATTTGCCTGCATTTTAATTTGGGCATGAAAAGAGTGTTCTACGCTTGTCAACTGGTTCGCCCGTGGTGTGGGTTGAATTATTTGGCAGTTCCTTAGAAGATGATCTCACCACAGCTGATGAACAGGAACCCAAACAGCCAAGTTCTAGGAACAGACCCAAGTGCAGACTTGACAAAAGAACTACAGAGACCCAGACAGGAGGCGGGCATCCAGGGTCTTCCTGATCTCACCGTCAGTATTACTGCCATCTCACACAGGCGTAGGGCTGAGATAGCTCTGGTTGGGTGTGACCAAGCAAATGGCCAGGAGAAAATGCTCAGCCTGCATTTTATATCACGTAATTATAAGTGTACCCCTCTGAAGGAGGGAACTCCCTATGATAGAGAAACTCACACACAGTGCCAGCTTTTCATTTACTGTTCAGTGAATTTGCTTTCTTCACACCTGGGTTACATTAAAGTTCAGTTCAAAAATATAATAACATAAACTAGGCCATATGAGTAGTTGTGCAGAACACACTGAGATTAAAATTTTCCCAGAGATTTTCTTCCTGAAATGTTTCTAGGATATTTGTAATTACTGTCAGAATCTCCTGCCCCTCTCCACCTCCATAAAATAAACCACAGAAATGCAGATTTATTCCTTAGGTTTAATTATGTTTATTGCTATCCCTGCCTCGCCCACCTTTCATCCTTCTCAGCTCTGCCTCTGTTCATCTTTGCCAAGCTAGAGAGAGAACCCTGCATGTGGTAGTTTGTGGTACTGTTTCCTACTGAGTTTTAACCAACACAAATCAATCCCGTATAGTAATTGAAAATAAGAGAAAGGCAGGCTTTTAAAAAATATATAGGAAGGAAGGGAGGGAGAGAGATAAACATTGATTTGTTGTTCCATTTATTTACGCATTTATTATTTGCTTTTTGTATGTGCCCTGACTGGAGATCCAACCTGCAACCTTGGTTAATCAGGATGACGCTCCAAACCAACTGAGCAACTGGGTCAGGGCACAAAGACAGGCTTTATAAAATGGTACTTACCTGGCCCCGGTCTGCAGGGCTCAGGTTTGGACCCGATCCCCAGGTGGGGTTCCGGCAGGAGGCAGTTGACCTACACATACCATTTGCGCTCGGCTGTAAGCAGCACAAATGGACTCGGGTGAGGAGTGCATCAGCAGACTCTGAGATTGGGGTTGCCGGAAAGCCAGGCTCGGAAGAGGGCAGGAACCGAGGGAGGACACAGCGGAGACCAGCCTGACGAGCTCTGCTGTCACATCCCCACCCCAAACTGGCCACCTCAACTGCTCTGGCCTTGCTGTGAAGAGTTCCCACCTCCCCTGAATCTTTGCAAGACTGTCTACAGATGCAGCCTTGCCAGGGACATCAGTCTGGACCCCAGCCCAGCTTGGACAGTGTGTGAGAGGAAGCACCGCCTGCTCTGCTTGGTCCAGTGGAATGGACGGTAGAGCAACACGGGAGGGTCCCTCCCAGTGCAAGCAGTGTTGGGTTACCCCCCAAAGGCAGGTGACCATTACTGTACTGTAAAGACCTGGGTTTTTATCTATAATGTAAGAGTATTTGTCTATATGGAAAGAGATTCTTACTGTTCTAAAACAAGGACCTATTTTTGCATTATATTTTCTCTTTCAGATGGCAGTAAGATTGCAGCTTCAACGTTGATGGAAATTTTGCTAATGAATGACTTTAAACTTGTCATTAATACAGTAACATATGATGTACAGTGCCCCAAGAAAGGTAAGAGACACAGCTATGCAACTGTCTTTACGTCTCCCCTTAGCTCACTGGTACAGAGAGCAAGCAGGCCTTCTGAATCTTCTAAAAAACCAAATGACCATATTTAAGATTTTTTTTTAAGCAGTGGTATAAATGATCAGTAGAAGTTGCGTAGCAGGACTTTTAGTCTCATATACTCTTTTTAGAATTTGAAAACTTCACTGTAGGAACTTTAATCTGACATGATTAGGTTAAAAAGTAGGCCTGAAAATCATGGACTCAAGTGTGTATTGTTATACAGCTCTTAACTCTTTCTTTAAAAATAGATTTTATTTTTTAGAGCAGTTTTAGGTTCGTAGCAAGATTGAGCAGATAGCAGCGAGTTCCCGTTTACACTGTGCCCGCCTCGCCCACAGCCTTCGCTGCTGTCAGGCACCACAGGGGTACATTCTTACAGTCCTCGGACCTGCTTGGCACATCATCGCCATGTAGATACCATATTTGATGTTATGGCTCAATTATTTTTCCTCACCCGAGGACATGCCTGTTGATCTTAGAGGAACATCGACTGGTTGTCTCTTGAATGCACCCTGACTAGGGACCAAAGCTGCAACCTAGGCTTGTGCCCCAACCGGGAACTGAACCCACAACCTTTCAGTTTACAGGATGACACTCTAAACAACTGAGCTACACAGGCCAGGGCTAGGGCTCATTTTTGATGTACACTTATTGGGCTTTGAAAAAGCCCAATGTATAATATATGTGTAATATATGTGGATATATAAGCCCAATGTGGATATATGTCATATATAATGACATATATCCACTATTGTAGTATCATACAGAACAGTTTCACTGCCCAAAATACCTTCCGTGCTCTGCCTGTTTATTCCTCCCCAACCCCCAACCAATGGCAACCATTGATCTTTTTACTGTCTCCATAGTTCTGCCTTTCCCAGAATGTTCATACGGTTGGAACCATATAATATGTAGCCTTTTCAGATTGGCCTTCATAAATTGGTACCATACATATAAGTTTTCTCAATGTATTTTCATGGCTCGATAGCCTATTTTTATTTGGTGCTGAATAATATTCCATTGTCTGCATCACAATTTATTTATCCACTCTCCTACTGAAAGTCATCTTGGGTGTTTCAAAGTTTTGACAATTATGGTGGCTATAAACATCTATGTGCAGGTTTCTGTGTGGACATAAATTTTCAGTTCATTTGGGTAAATACCAAGGAGCATGAGTGCTAGATTGAATGGTAAGAGTATGTTTAGTTTTGCGAGAAACCGACAGACTTTCTTCTGAAGTGGCGGTACCATTTTGCATTCCTATAAACAGCGAGTAAGAGTTACTGTTGCTGTACATTGTCATCAGCATTTAGTGTTGTCAGTGTTTTGGGTGTTGGCCTTTCTGATACATAGTACAGTCATATGTCATTGTTGTTTATTGGCTATTACTTATTGACATACGATTTCAAATGCTTGTTTGCTATTTGTATATCTTTTTTAATGGGGTGTACAAGTCTTTGGCCCATTTTTATGCAGGTTGTCTATTTTATTGTTGATTTAAGACTTCTTTGTATATATTGGATTATAATTCACCATCATATCTCTCTTATTTTCTCCCAGTGTGTGACTTGTCTTCTCACCCTCTTAGCATTGTCTCTGCGAGCACAGGTTTTTAATTTTAATGAAGTCCATCTTCTCAGTTATTTTTTTTGTGGATTGTGCCTTTGGTGTTGTATCTGAAAGTCATCTAGGTTTTCTCTTGCGTTATTTCTAGGAGTTGTATAGTTTTGTATTTTATTGGGTTGGCCAAAAAGTCTGTATCATTTTTTTTCATAAAATACACATTTTTCATTTTCACAAATAATTTCATTGATTTGGATATTTTGAGCATGTCGGCTATCTCCCACATGGTATAATGTTGATGGTTCTCAGTTAATGTCTTGATTTGATCTCTATCAACTTCAGCTGGTCTATCCGACTATGAAGCATCATCCAGCTGAGAAATCAGCAGCGTTAAACTTCGCAAACCCCTTTGACACGTTCGCTTAGTCACAGCACCTTCTCCACACACGGCACAAATCTTTTCTTGTCTTTCAATTGCATTTTTACCTTTCTTGAAATAATAAAGCATAATATGCCAAAAGTGTTGCATGTTGCCTTCCATCATCAATATTAAAATGGCTACACAAAAATTCACCAATTTTGATGTTATTCAAAAAATGCACACTGATATGACAGCTGTCACAATATAATTAAACAAAATTGTTTCAAGTGAATTTTAAGACAACTAAGTGCTACCAGAACCATCTTACGGGAAAAAAAGCAAACGTTTTGGCCAACAAAATGCATTTAAGTCTATGATTTATTTTCAATTAATTTTTGTGAAGTGTGTAAGATCTGAGTCTAGATTCATATTTTTGCATGTGGAGGTACAATTCTTCCAGCATCATTTGTTGAAAGACTGTCTTTCTTCCTTATTGTTCTTGCCCTTTTGGCAAAGATCAGTTGACTGTATTTATGACGGTCTGCTTCTGGGTTCTCCTTCCCGTTCCATTGATCCGTTTTGGTTTCTCACCAATAGCACACTCTCCTGACAACACAGCTTTACAGGCAGCCTTCAAGCTGGGTAACGTCAGTCATCTGACTTTATTCGTCTTCAGTACTGAGCTGGCCGTGCAGGGTCTTTTGACTATTCGTGTAAACTTTGGAATAAGTTTATTGATGTCCACAAAATAATTTGCTAGGATGTTGATTGGGGTTGTGTTGAATTATAGAAAAACTTGCAAAGAACTGATTTCTTGACAATATTAAGTCTGTGCATGAACATGAAATATCTCTATTTAGTTCTTTGATATCTCTTGTCAGACTTTTGTTATATAGATCTGGTACATATTTTGTTAGGTTTATACCTAACCATTTTCTTTTTTTTTTTTTTTAAGATTTTATTTATTTATCTTTAGAGGGGGAGCCTAGGAAGGAGATAGGGAGAGAAATATCAATGAATGGTTGCCTCTCATGCATCCCCCCGCTGGGAACTGGCCTGCAACCCATGCATGTGCCCTGACTGGGAATCGAACTGCGATACTCTGGTTCGCAGGCCCGCGCTCAATCCACTGAGCTACACTAGCCAGGGCTCATTTTAAATTTTTAGGTGAAAATATGAATGGTAATGTGTTTTTAGTTTCAAATTCTATTTGTTTATTGTTGGCATATAATAAAATGATTGACTTCTATTTATTAAGCTTGTCTTCTACAGCCTTGTAAAAATTGCTTATTAGTTCCTGGAGCATTTCTTATTGTTGATTCTTTCAGATTTTCTACATAAGCAATCATCTGCAAAGATAATTTTATTTTTCCCTTTTTTTGTAAACATATTTTTATTTTCAAACACAGTTGACATTTAATATTATATTAGTTTTTCATGTACAACATAGTGTTTAGACATTTATATAACTTAACAGCTGATCAACCTGATAAGTCTAATATCCATCTGATACCATATATAGTTAATACAGTATTGTTGAATGTATTCCCTATGCTGCACTTTTCGTCCCTGTTACTTTTTATACCTGGAAATTTGCACTTCTTAATAATCTCTTCCCATTTTTTACCCATCTCCCAATACCCCTTGCATCTGGCCACCATCAAAGTGTTCCTCATATCTATAAGTTTGTTTCTGTTTTGTTTACTGAATTAATTAATCGGTTCAAATAGGTTTTTTTGATGGAGTCCTTAGGGTTCTCTGTATGTAATATCATGTCATCTTCACATAATGTCAGTTTTACTACTTTTTTCTAATTTGCATGACTTTTATTCATTTTTCTTATCTGATTGCTGTGGCTAAGACTTCCAATACTATGTCGAATAAATGTGGTGACAGTGGACATCTTTGTCTTTTTCCTAAGAATGCTTTTAGCATTTCACCATTGACTATGAGGTTAGTTGGTTTGTCATATTCGGCCTTTATTATGTTGAGGTATGTTCTCTCCATTCCTACTTTGCTGAAAGGATTGTTTTAAGAAATCATAAATGGGTGCTGGATTTTGTCAAATGCTTTTTCTGCATTTATTGATATGATCATATGATTGTTATCCTCCATTTTGTTTACACTGTGTACCATGTTAATTATTTTGCCAACCTTGTATCCCAGGAATAGATTCCAATTTATCATGGTGTATGAGCTTTTTAATGTATTACTGAATCCAGTCCGCTAATATTTTGTTGAGGATATTTTTCATCTATGTTCATCAGAGACATTGGCCCAAGATTTTCTTTGTCTGGTTTTGGAATCAATAATGCTGGGCTCTCTCATGAAATGAGCATGAGAGTCTTCTCTTAAATTTGTTGGAACAGTTTTTCTTTGAATGTTTGGTAAAAGTTACCTGTGAAGCCATCTGGTGCAGAATTTTTGGTTTTGGGAGTTTTTTGATTACTGATTTGATTTTGTTAGTATAGTTATTGGTCTTTTCAGAAGATTGTATGTTTCTAGGAAAAGGTTGTTCAATTTGGTGACATATTGTTGTTCACAGCATTTCCTTATATTCCTTCCTATTTCTGCAGTGTCAGTTGTCGCATCTCATTTTTTTCTGATTTTATTTATTCGTACCCCCTCTTCTCTTTTTCTAACGATATTTATTGTTTTTAAATGTCTTCAGAGCAGAGTAGTTCAGAGAAATCCTTTTCCCCTCGAGCCTTTGTGCAGTTTCTCTGAAAGAAAGATGAGCTCTTGATACTTAAACAGCTTGCACAGCACAAGGACAGTCAGTTCTAGGGGCTTCTGTCACACCACTGGTAGAAATGTAGCATTGCCTGCTCTGTGCAGGTGTCAGCTGATGGTTGTTGGCACCGATTCAACACCGATAGGAATCCCCAACTTGGGACGAATGAAGAAGGAAACTTTATTCTCTGAAAAACAGTTCAATTATGGTACCGTACAACTATGAAAACAGCATGGACGCGAGGCAGCCCTGGGGCAAGGTCGCCCTCCCTCTTTTCGATGAGTT